ATGCTGCAAACCCTCTCCCTCCACTCCTTTCTTTTCTCGCGGCTCTCGGAGGAAGACCCACCCCCTCGTGGCTATTGCCGGAGAGCCTTCTCCCCCCTCTCCTCCTTGCAACAAGCAGGCCAGCCTCTAGAGCGCTCCCCCCTCTCCCTCCTCCCCCCTATGTGCGTGGTGTGCGCTGAGCTGCTGGCTCAGTGCTGCCGGAGAAAGAGCAGCAGCCCCAGCAGGCAGGCGGCGGAGGCGGCTGCAGCAGCCAGAGCCATCCATCCAGGGAGCCTCTGCATCTTCGCTCAGGCACTGACAGCGCGGCACATGCGCCAGCAGCTGCAGGGGCAGCCGGGGCAGCCACCGGCAGCAGCAGCGGAGTGACGGGATCGCCCCTGCAAGATGAACGCCTCGCTGGACAGCAACCGCAGCAGCAGGCCGTTTTGCCTCCTGGCCGCTGGCTACCCGGAGACCCTGGACTTCTGCCTCCTGGAGGTGATCATCATCGTCTTCCTCACCGTCCTCATCATTTCGGGCAACATCGTTGTCATCTTCGTCTTCCACTGCGCTCCATTGCTCAACCACCACACTACCAGCTACTTCATCCAGACCATGGCCTACGCTGACCTCTTGGTGGGTGTGAGCTGCCTGGTGCCTTCTTTGTCTCTGCTGCACTACCGCATTGCCTTCCTGGACGAGTCCCTGGTTTGCAAGGTCTTTGGCTATGTGGTTTCGGTGCTCAAGAGCGTCTCCATGACCTCTCTAGCTTGCATCAGCGTTGACAGGTATATCGCCATCACAAAGCCGCTGACTTACAACACGCTAGTCACCCCCTGGAGGCTCCGGGTGTGTATCCTGCTCATCTGGTTGTACTCGGGTGCTGTGTTTCTGCCTGCCTTTTTCCAGTGGGGGAAGCCTGGCTACCACGGGGATGTCTTTGAGTGGTGTGCCAACTTCTGGAAGACTGATGCTTATTTCACTCTTTTTATTGTCGTCATGCTCTATGCACCAGCTGCCTTCGTGGTCTGTTTCACATACTTCAGCATCTTCCGCATCTGCCAGCAGCACACCAAGGAGATCAACGAGAGGAGGGTCCGGTTCAGCTCTCAGGATGGGGAGACAGCTGAGGCCCAGCCTTGTCCAGACAAGCGCTACGCCATGGTTCTCCTACGCATCACCAGTGTCTTTTACATTCTCTGGCTTCCCTACATCATTTATTTCCTCTTGGAAAGCTCAGAAGTGTACCGCAACCGCGTGGCCTCCTTCTTGACCACCTGGCTTGCCATCAGCAACAGCTTTTGCAACTGTGTCATCTACAGTCTGTCCAACAGTGTCTTTCAGAAAGGGTTAAAGCGCCTGTCTGGCGTAGTTTGCGCTTCTTGCACCAGGCACCGGGCCTCAAAGGATTCTTCTGCATCAAGGAGCAAAAGACCTTCCAATGGTTGTCAGGTCTAAAATAGGGATTGCTCTGATTGCAAAAATAACTTAAAGATGTCCAGGTTTGCAAAAAAAAGTAACTAAAACACACACACACAACTTTCTCTGAGAAATGCTGCTGATGTAAAAGAATTGGGAGTTTCCACAAGCATGTGCTGTCTGTTTGACGTTTCACTTTAAAAATTTCCTCTTGGTGGGCAGGAGATGGGTGTAGTGACCCAGAGTTCATTTTAAAGAATCAAATCATCTTTCTCTCCCTCTTCCCCACCTGGAGTGACTGACAATGGTGGGCGTGTGAGAGTGTTGGCAAAGAAGACACACTTGCGTTCTTCCTTACAACTTCATTAGGGTGTTTGGAGATCTGTGCTTTGTGTGTAAGTGTGAAGATGTTAATGGTTCAGTGCTGTATACCCTGATATTTTGTTTGTTTGTGCACATACCAAAGTATATTTCAGAATCAAGACAAGGGATCAGACGTTGTTCTCCCTTCTCTTCCTGACTCCATTTTTTCTTCAGGCCTATTGCAAATAATGTGAACACTTGAACATTTTATTTCAGTGTGTAACAAGCCAGTGGTGTGACCATGTGATCAACTTCCCTTGCCCCAGTGTGCTTTTTTTTTAAACAAAACAGTTAATGTGGTCCCCAGTGCCCTGTTTGCTGTTAGGATGCTCATTTGTGAGTTAGAGTACAGTATTTGCATCTTTTTAAAAAAATTGTGTAGTAACAGGATAACTTTGGTGCAGACCAAATCTAGCAGTTGAATAAAGTATTTTTTTTATAAGGTAAGAGAATATCTGTCCTTTTCTCAGTTTGGAATTGTGGTGACATCTTGAGAATGGGGTGAAACATTGGAGTTTTGTGTAGAAATTTCTCCAAAAAAACAGAGAAGATTGCTGTCTTAAATCTAAAATGCTCTGGTACTTAGCATGCTAAGAGCTAGTAGGAAGGGGGGAAAGGACACTTAAATAGCTGTAGCAACTTATGACAAATATTAAGTGCAAATTTGAGTTTCTGATAAGACCCCGTACAAAGCAGGATGCTGTTGGCAGGTGTAATGTCGGTTCAAAACCAGCCAGCATGAATTCCTTTTTGGTAAACCATATAGTTCATGGCCAGAAGAACAATTTCAATGGGTTGTATTGCATACATTGTGTCTTCGTGCTTTGAGAAGATCAGCCACAGTCTCACAAGGTAGTTTTAACATTTTCCTCTGCCCCCATAATGCTCACAGTGCCATTACAAACCACCTTGAGAAGGAATGTGCTACCTGTTTGGGTGTTGGTTCTTCTGTGTGCAACATTCTGAGGAGAGAAGATGTGATTCTGCCTGCAGCAGCTTTGCCAGAGCCTGGTGCTTGCATCAAAGACCACCAGATTCTGCAACCTGATTATAGCTGCGATCCTAAGCATGCTTGCTTGGTAGTAAATCTCAGTGAGAAGACTGGGACTTGTTCCTGTGGAAACATGAATAGTATGGGGCTATGAAATGTGCAGATCAAATACTTGTGCTTTAAGTGATGCATATTCCATTCTCCTTGCTGTGTGGAGGGGCCTTGAGCCATGCTGAGCCTTCACATCCCACTTCCAAAGTGTCAGCAACCCTGGTTCCACCTTATCCCAACTACATAGACTTCTCCAGATGATTTCAACACAATGAGGGATAGAAACTTGATGGAAGGTTTTTCATTTCCAGTTCCACATTGACATGGTGATGCAGGGTTGGCTACACAGAAGATAAATAGTTGAGGCCGTATTTTTCTGCCCAGAAAGAAAAGCCATTGTGGTGTTAGCACATCGGTGCTATTCTTGCACTTGCAGTGCTGCATTCTTAGTAAGACCTTTCTCTGGGCTTCAAGCTCACAGGTGAATCCAAAGGTGGAGCCTCCAGACCTTAAGTGGTCTGCCAGCTCCCTCTTGGGCCTGTAACACAGAGTGGGATTTAAGCTGGCAATGAGAAAGTTTGTAGCCATTCAAGAGTCCCTGGAATAGCTGATTTAAGGTAGTGATGGAGCAATAAACTGTTAAGAGAATTCCCAGTAGACCCTGGTACCCTGCATCAATATGCGTTCAGTAGCTGTTAGTCTAAATGTGTTCCCTATTTCATAGAATCATAGAGTTGGAAGGGGCCATACAGACCATCTAGTCCAACCCCCTGCCCAATGCAGGACCAGCCTTAAAGCATCTCTGACAAATATTCGTCCAGCCTCTTCTTGAAAGTTGTCAGTGAAGGGGAGCTAACCACCTCTCTAGGCAGCTGATTCCACCTTTGAACCACTCTGACTGTGATAAAGGTTTTCGTAATATTCAGCTGATACCTTACTGCTTGTAATTTAAACTCGGGTCCTATCCTCTGCTACCAACTGGAACAGCTCCTTGCCCTCCTCCAAATGACAGCCTTTCAAATATTTAAAGAGAGCAATCAGGTCCCCCCTCAATCGCCTCTTCTCCAAACTAAACATTCCAAAGGCCCTTAGCCTTTCCTCGTAGGGTTCAGTCTCCAGATCCCTGATCATCCTCGTCGCTCTCTTCTGCACCCTCTCAGTTTTGTCCACTTCCTTTTTGAATTGAGGCCTCCAGAACTGCACACAGTACTCAAGGTGCTGTCTGACCAAGGCAGTATACAGAGGGGCTATGACCTCCTGCGATTTCGATGCTATGGCCCTTTTAATACAACCCAAGACTGAATTTGCCTTTTTTGCCACTGCATCACACTGGCTGCTCATATTTAGTTTACAGTCCACCCTTACCCCGAGATCTCTTTCGCATGCACTACTCCCCAGAAATGTATCCCCCATCCAGTATTTGTGCTTGACATTTTTGTGGCTCAGATGTAATACTGTGCATTTATCTTTGTTGAATTGCATCCTGTTTGCAACTGCCCACTTTTCCAGAGTATTAGGTCTTGTTGAATTTTAACTCTATCTTCTTGGGTGTCTGCTACTCCTTCCAATTTGGTATCATCAGCAAATTTAATGAGTAGCCCTTCTACCCCTTCATCCAGATCACTGATAAAACTATTGAAAAGTACTGGGCCCTGCGGCATATGATGGGACCTGTGCAGGGGCCGTCCATGGTAGAAAGCCGCCTTCTTTGAAGCAACTGCAGGAGACCTGAGATCACTCCTACCTCAGTATCATGGCATCTACCAAGTTGCTCCTGTTCCTTGTCTGATTACTGTATGTGAAGTAGGAATATGGCTCACATTATTGGGTGTGCTGATGAATACTGGTTCTGAGGCACAATCAACATGTATAGTAGAAGGGGTTGTACCATTGCAGGCTGCAAGTGCTGGGTCTGCTTTCTTATTTTGTCTGTATAAAAATTCCCTGTAAATAAGAATGGAAAGCATCAAGGACAAAGCTTATTAGCCTAGCACTTCACATGATGTGCAAGTTTTCCACTTAAAGGGATTGTTCATGTAGGGAAACGTTTGGGAAAAGTAACACCTCCCCCGCAATCTGAAGTGGAACAGTCCACTCTGCCACCTCATTACTGCCTCATTCTGACACATGTATAGACCAAGCCTTATGTGACTTTAAAATGGAACTAGACAAATTTGTAGAGGAGAGGCCCTTTGAAGGATATTTGCCATGAAAGCTGTATGAAATCACATTGTTTGTAGACAGTATACGTCTGAATGCCAGGATTAGGGTGGGGGGGGGACAACAAAAGTGGGAGAGCTTTATAGCCTTTGTGACTTTTGTGGACCTTCCAGAGTGGGAAACAGGATACTGGAGTGAAAGGACCTACCTTGGTCTGATCCAGCGGAGCTACCCTTGTGTCCCTAATGGTTTTGAGGGCAACAAGGCCAAGCATTATCAAGGCTTGTATGATGAAAGTGCTGTACATGACAACAAGCAATGTTTGGAGTGGGAGTCTTAGTCATTTAAACTTCTAGGCCAGATTATGGCTTTTTGAATCCATGGACTGAGAGGGAGCTGCAGAAGGAATACCATCTGGTCCCTGCCATCTTGGTGCCATGTTATAAAGGGGGAAATTCTTGGCTTGTTTGCAAGCCTGAAAGGCCTTCCTACGCTCAGTGGCTGCCTGTGCTGTCAGGTCATCATTGGTCCTTAAGTCCTGTCGCTTTTGCCTCTTAGCTGAAGAAATTGCCTGAAAACATGTTCTGAAAAGGGACAGTGGTTAACCTTATGTGGGCACAAGCAATCACAGGATTTATGCGCAGGCGGCCTTGATGTGCATCATCTTTTGGGTTAGGGTTGGAGCTGGTTTACCTGGGTTGCTTTGAGACATAGTTGCTCCCCTCTTTTGTGGAAAAGGAATGTAACCCTTTAATTCACAATAGGTATTAACATTCAATTATGATTTAAGTTAAAATTTAATACAGGGCCCTGCAACCCTGTGGTTCCAGAGTCAAATGTGGTTTGGTACAAAACCAAATATTTTTCCTTAAAGGGCGGGTAGTGGTGGGGAAATGAGATAAGAACATAAGAGAAGCCAATGTTGGATCAGGCCAAAGGCCCATCCAGTCCAACACTCTGTCACACAGTGGCCAAAAATGCCAGGTGCCATCAGGAGGTCCAGCAGTGGGGCCAGGACACTAGAAGCCACCACACACTGTTGTCCCCCCCAAGCACCAAGAAGACAGAGCATCACTTGCCCCAGACTGAGAGTTCCTATCTATACCTTGTGGCTAATAGCCACTGATGGACCTCTGCTCCATATGCTTATCTAATTCCCTCTTGAAGCCGTCCATGCTTGTAGTCACCACCATCTCCTGTGGCAGTGAATCCCATGTGTTAATCACTCTGGGTGAAGAAGTACTTCCTTTTATCCGTTCTAACCCGATTGCTCAGCAATTTCATGGAGTGTTCACGAGTTCTTGTATTGTGAGAAAGGGAGAAAAGTACTTCTTTCTCAAACTGCTCTATCCCATGCATAATCTTATAAACCTCGATCATATCACCTCTCAGCTGTCGTTTCGCCAACTAAAGAGCCCCAAGTGTTTTAATTTTCAATTAAGAAAGGAAGAGGCTGTGACCTCTGCTTGGCTTG